ACTTGATTTTTTAAAATATTTGTGTCAAATTTAATAGTAATCATTTGAGGTCCTACACACAGATGTGGTAGGGTCTTATAAGATCATTACTCATATATAAATACAAAAAATACAGGTAGATTCAATTTTATGGCGATATTCATGCAAGTACTCCCATTCAAGATTTGCATCATCAGACCGATGCCTTTTCTGCCAAAAACCTCAATGGCTTTTTTTTTTTTTTCTCTAACATTCTTTCTTTTTTTTTCTTTTTTTTTTGTTGGAGGTGTGGATTTCAAACCTCAAACTGCTCTCAATATAGGTTGTTCAAGACTTGAAACATCGGATCGTGACCGCTTTTTATCGTAAAAACAACCCGGCCTGCTAACATTTACAACATAACTTGGTCAAGGGTTGCGAACTTAGTGCTTGTTTTTGTTTTTTTTTTGGTAAGTCAGTGGAAGAGAAGGCCCCCTACCCTTTTTTTTTATTATTTTTTTGTAATACTTTAAAAATAAAGACGTTTACAGCTCATTTCTTTACATCCCCGGAATAGGGTGCCTATGGCAAATCATGTAGTAAAGCAAGGGAAATAAAATCTAGTGGACGAGAAGACCAAACAGTGGCTTGTAAGTGAGAACCTAGTGCTTGTTCACTATATGTTTGTGTAAAAAGCAGTGGTTCTTTTATAAAACACATTGAAAATAGGGGCCTAAGTGCCCCTATATTTAGGCTGTCCAATGTTCAAAACATCATACAACCTTAGACATACCTTTCCCACCATCTAGAGAGCCCTACAAATCCAAAAAGAAAAATTTAGATCGGTTCATTAGTTCTAATATTGGATCCAGGGATAAAACTGTCCAAAACAAACAACAGACCTCTATGTAAATTTTACATAAAATTAAAAGAATGTAGCTTCATTAAAATAAAAAAATATAGAAAGAGGCCATTTACTTTTGGATGAGGTTTTTATAGGGCCTAGGCTTTATGAAAACAAAATAAAGCCTCATCTCAAATCTTTATCCAAAAAGCACTTTCGGTAACATAAATCTCCATGATGGCTCTAAAATCAATTTGCAACTTCGTTAATGAAATTCAAAACTCAAAAAATGATACAGATCTTGCGGATCTATGCACACTTATTTTTAGGGTGAGATAGACAGTCTAGATAATTCATTATAATAACCATATTTTAGAGCTTGAAATTCTTTTATTTTCTTTTTTTTCATAACCATAATATTCATGCCAAGATGATCGATGTAAAGGTTTTCTAATACTTGAATTGCTATTTTTGAGGAGTTATAAAGTGACGATTTACTTCTTTTGATAGGGCTGCTGCACTATAAAACCAAATTTCTTTACTTTTTGTAAGGAGATCACAATCGCTCTTGTTCATGAGATTTCAAATTGAGTGGTTGTAAGAGTGTCATTGATTGACTCAAAGTTCAAAAAAGAATTTTCAAACTTCATGACACACCTTAAGCCATCTAATTTGATATCTAATGATTAAGAGTAAATATGACTTCTTTGTAGTAAAAATAAATGGTCTGATAGTATATGTTCCTTTAAAAATAAAGTGGTACGGAGTATGGAGTAATTTTCCAAAGAATTAAAAGAGCGGTAGACCGGTTCCTAGTCTCTCTCTCTCTCTCTC